CAATGGATTTCATGTCACCCTCCTTACAGATTCCCTCTGAATCTAATGTATAAATAAAGCTGCAAAACTGCCATTCTCTGGAGCATTGTCTCAATTCATTGAGATTTTGCTTCCTGCCAATTGTCATCAGTTTGGCTCAAGTAAACTAATTCTCTACAGGTTTGGATGTTTCTGCTTCAACATCAGGAATAGCCAGATGGAAGAGATACACAGAGTGAGGTATGGGGAACAGGACACGGAGCTCCCATGCTCTCAGTGCTCACCACTCTCCCCGCAGCTCCATGTGTTCCCCAACCCGAAGCTCTCTGAAGACTGTCCTTTCGGGTTTTTATGAAGGCTTCATCACATAGCCATGACTGATTAAATCACTGGCAACAGGCAACTGATTTGACGTCTAGCTCCTCTCTCCTCCCCAGAGGTCAGGAGTGGGAGAGAGTTTCAACCCTCTAATCTCAAAGTTGAGTCTCCTGGCACCCGTCAGCTATCCTCGTGCAACACCATGAGTGACCCTTGAAAACATTATATAAAAGAAGCCAGTCATAAAAGAACATATGAATGTGACTCCATTCATATAAAAGTCCAGAACGGGAAAATCTATAGAGACAGAAAGTAAATTAGTGCCTGGCTTATTTCACTTGCATAAGACTCTCCAGTTCCCCCTATGCTGTGCCAAAGGATAAGAGATCCTTCTTCTTTACAGCTGCATAGTATTCCATGGTGTGAGTGTCCCACAGCTTTTTCATCCACTCATCTCCTGATGGGCACTTGGGCTGTTTCCAGATCTTAGCTACTGTAAGCTGCGCTGCTATGAACATAGGGGAGCATAAGTTCTTTCTGATTAGTGTTTCAGGATTCTTAGGATATATTCCTAGAAGTGAGATCACTGGGTCAAACGGCAGTTCCATTTTTAATTTTCTGAGGAAACTCCATACTGTTTTCCATGGTGGCTGCACCAGTCTGCATCCCCACCAGCAGTGCACCAGGGTTCCCTCTTCTCCACACCCTCGCCAGCACCTGCTGTTTGTTGATTTGTTGATGGAGCCGTTTTGGCAGATGTGAAGTGATACCTCACTGTGGTTTTAATTCGCATCTCTCTGATGATTAGTGACTTTGAGCATTTTTTCATATGTCTCTTGGCCATCTGTATGTCCTCTTTAGCATGGAACAGACTGAGGGGTCTCAGAGGGAAGGTGGGGGTGGGGG